TCGATTTCTGGATTACAGATTAATGTTTGACTCGCGGGACGTTCATTCAGTCTCAAATATGATCTGATTCGTTCACCGTATTAAGGTGAGAGAAATTCAGTGAAGTTAACTGCTACTAGAAGAGATTTCCTCCATAATCCTCGTGAACTCCTACGTGCCGCCTTGTTGGTTTGAGCCAGCAGTAATAAACGGACCGGCAAAGCGGTTGCTCCTTCAAATATGGCGTCAAAAAAAAGACGAGACACGCGCATGCTTTTCTGTTTAATTTATTTCTTTATGCAATTTTTCATATATTACATTCCACATAATTATGTCATTCCGCAAGCCATACCACGTGCCATTCCGCAAACTCATTCCGCCTTTTACCCTCACCGAAAACAGATGGCCAAATTAACGAGCTGTGTTTCATTACGCTATGGTTAAGATTTGACCAATCTTTTAGGTTCGAGTCCTATAAGACTGAAACGATGAACAGAACAGAACGCTTCTCCCGCCCTATCATGGCCACTCGGCGTGCACAGCATCAAAAACAGCTTTCCATGGGCGTAGCCAGTATTTTTCCATTAGTACGCTCAAGTTTTGTGTTTCGTTTTGTGTGATAAATTTGACTTTTTTTAAGTGTTACAGGGTGTTCAGGATCTTAGTAGATACATGACCTCTGGTAACCGGAAATACTTTGGAAAGTCGAGGCAGGTTTCTCTTGGGCTGCTCGCCTTGCGAAATTTTCCCTTTGCTATAATTTTTATGCATTTCCCACAACTTCAGACACCCCATCCCCTGGGGGTAGGGGGGGAAGGGTTCTGGGTGGTTTGGTTTAGGCATGATTTTTTTACTATATTCGAGAATGTGCTCGAATAATAGTTTTTTCTCCCTCCAGCACTTTGTATAATTTTTGTGGATGGGGTTGAAAAAGTAGGCCTTCCTTTATAAATCTCCGGGGACATGCTTCCACAAAAAAATTCTGAAAGTTAGAATCACCGGGTTAATTTCTACCAATTTTGAGATTTATTTTGTCCAATTTTTATCACCAATCCGCTAGTTTTCTGCACAAGAACGTACATTTATGTGTAAAAAAAGGAAATTGCGTTTGCTTTTAACATAAAGATTATAAGGCTATCATAAAATATGCAAAAAACAAAGAAACAAAAACGATGGAATAAATTTAAAAAATTTGAACTACTTTTTATTCTTGTTATGATGACTAGTTCTTTGATTCTTGTCCTCGGCTGTAGAAGTTAATAGGTGGTACAATTCCTGTTTTGTACAATATCAACAAATTTTCATACACTCTCTACGGCTATTTTTACACGGGACCAGTTTGCTTCTCTTTAAAAGGTCAGCATTAGATCCCATCGACCGTAGCCCCTTTCCCCTCCCTCTTACGAAATTTACCCAAGGTAGAACTGTTTTCTGCCTTTATATCACACTTAGATTATATTTCACGTTGGAAATGTTCATGAAATTGCAAGTCTCTTCAATTTGAAAGAAAACAAAAACTTGATAGGAAAAAGAGTAGGATTCGAAGCCATGACCCAGATGGTCCAGTATACTACACTATCCACTAGACCACTGTTGGATGGAGGAGAATTAATTTAAGTACATAGCTTCAACCCCAACCCCAAAAAAGAACCTAACCAGTTTCGTGCTTAACCCTAATCAGTAATGGCAGTGCTTAACCCTAATCTGTAAAGGCAGTGCTTAACCCTAATCTGTGAAGGCAGTGCTTAACCCTAATCTGTAAAAGGCAGTGCTTAACCCTAATCTGTAAAAGGCAGTGCTTAACCCTAATCTGTAAAAGGCAGTGTTTAACCCTAATCTGTAAAAGCCCGTGCTTAACCCTAATTAGTAAAGGGGAACACTACGCTGTGTAAATTTCATGAGATGTCCGAAGAGGCTACGGTCGACGGGATCTTATGATAACCATGTTAAAATCTGTCCGCCTCCGTCCGCCATTGTGAAAAATGTTTGATTTCTGGGTCGATGTTTTTGATAAACACAAGCTCGCCTTCTCATTGGTTAAACAGTGATGCGTGACCAGTTGGCCCTGTCCTTAAATTTAGGGATATTCTGGACTGTATTAACCTAACTTGTTTGAAGATTGCTAGTGTAAACTAACCATTGGAAACTAAGGCCACCGCAGATGTCGAATAAATATAATTCTATCAAAGTCTAGCTGTAGACTTGTAAATTTATACGAAATTTGCATTTTTTGTGTTGTGGTTTGTCGCTCTAAGTGTACATAACCAATGGAGCGTTCAATTAATTTACACCCAAACAAAGCAAGAGTGTCTTATGGCAACGCAAAATATCCTTTTGTAGATTACTGAAATATTGGTAGCAGTCTATGAAGGAAGTTTTATTTTAAGGGATCAGAACCATTACATGATTTTTCAAGTTTCACAGTGTCTTGACAAATATCGGTGGAAGAATCGAAATCAGTTCGGTAATCTTTCAAACTGCCTGGGGCACGATTTGAAAAATAAATAACGGCGAGCGTTTCTCGATTATCTTTCCTTTAAAACTGATTTAACCCTCTTTTTCCAGGAGCTTTTAGGGTTTAGGCTCTTTGAATAAAGCGCACAAACCTTTATAAGGTCTCGAACGACGCAGGGAGGCGGGGACAAAGAAATTCTCGCAAGTTCCATCGATGAAAGCCTTATTAGAATTTAGTCGTTTCTGACAATCTCTAGCTCTGCCTGTAATCCTCTAATAGTTTGCAAGATCATTTGTTTTTTTTGGTATTTATATCTTGCAAAATTTGAGATCCAATCCTTTGTAACAGATCATTAGAACTGCCAGAAAACAAAATTTCAAATTTTCAAGCAATTTTATTTGATGGAAGTCAAACTTGGTTAAAAACGCATATGAAATGACGAAGCACTAATTAGACACGTTCTCACGCATTTTATGCCCCAAAGTTGGAAAAACTGTGCTACAAATGAAAATTAAAAATGCAACGGGGAAACAGATCAGTAAACGTGAAAATATACCCAGCATAACAAACAGTATTGCTTGCTGCGTTTGCTTGCAGACAATATGGCGGCAAAAATCTTTCGAAAGCGCTGCTTGCCTAGACGTTACGCAACCTTATTTTAGAGTTAAGTCAGCTTGCCAAGATGAAGCCTCAGTATAGTATTGAAATTCGACAGCGGCGACNTAGTTGTAAGGTGAGAGAGCTGTAAAGAGGATGACATAAATATTAAAAAAAAGTGGCGCGGGGGGAAAAGGGTTTGGGCGGAAAAAAAAAAAAAAGGTTAAAAATTCAGGGGTTAAAAGTCCGGGGGGATGGGGTGGGGGGGGGGGGGGGGGATAAAATGTTTATCAAATGTTTCACCACTCACCTGCGTGGGTTACTTGTACAAAATTAATTAACTCACTCAGTACTTAGTGCAGTTCAATGTTAACTAGAATTCAGGTACTTTAGCCGTGGAACCTAAGAACCATTTTTTCCCGGAAGCCTTGCGTGAGTTTCGGGGAAAATGTGAAGCCAACCTCGTTCCCAGGGTCGTTACTGGAGAAAGGGAGAGGATCATGGGAACCAAGTTGCCTTCGCTCGTCCCCTCTCCTCCCTGGTGGGGTTTATTATTCGTAATAATCTCGTTTGACTTAACTTTTTTGGTTGTTTGGGAAATGTTCTCATTTCTTTTTAAAGAACTTACTTCCATGTAACGGGCTTTGCGTTCTATTGCTTTGCCTAGCGTCGGGTGTCGTTATATTGATCGAAAGTCCAAATTTTAAGGAACTCGCCGCAATCTTTGAGTCCTGGACTTTAGGCACTTTGCGGCGTTGGAAAACCCCTACCTTTACTTTCATTTAATGAAACCACTTTGTTGTGTAACCTCGAGTTCTACATGTAGTCGTTTAACACTTCGCTCCAAAATTCGCGCCTCTGTATGATTGAGTGATTTTCTAAAGAAAAACGTCCGTCAGATGGCCATGGCAACTGGCACTTAGGTAGCAGCGGTTTCTTTCCGCAATTCAAATCACACAATGCTCTTGGCACCAATGACACAAAAACTGGCGACGTTTGACCCAGACATCAGTGAAGTTGTGTTGCATATGACGTCATGTGTTGCATATGACGTCGCCCCTATAGGCTTACGACCGACGATGCTCAACATGATAGCAGCGAAGTGCGTGCATTACGAGAAGTGCATCACACAGATAGACTTTCAGTATCACCCAAACGGTTGGAAGAGTTCAAACTTCGCACAGCCCAGGACCCAGAAATGCAGCTTTTAACAAGTCAAATACAAAAAGGGTGGCCATCAAGCCGTAAAGAATGCCCTAGTCCGCTAATACCATACCACGAAAGCCCAAACGAGCTAATTGAAGAAAACGGGCTGGTCTTTCGTGGCGAACGCTTAGTCGTTCCACCCTCGCTGCGCACCGATATGCTGAAAGAAATACACCGCTCACATGTCGGAATGAACGGATACTTAAGAAGAGCCAGAGAGTTGCTGTTCTGGCCAAGAACCAACGCTGAAGTAAAAGATTTCGTTTCCAAATGCAGCATTTCACAATCATTTCAGCCAGAACAGTGTAGAGAAGACCTCCAGCCGCACGAAATGCTAAGCCGTCTGTGGTCGAAAGTAGGAGCTGACCTATTCGAACTTGGTCAACAAAACGTCTTAATATTGGTCGACTACTGGTCCAGTTATTTCGAAGTACAAGAACTCAAACGGATCACCTCCACAACTGTCATCACCGCTTGCAAAGTGCAGTTTGCAAGACATGGAATTCCTGATGTCCTGATTACAGACAACGGGACACAATTTAGCTCATCAGAATTCGCGAAATTCGCCGAGGCGTGGAAATTTGAACACAAGACTTCAAGTCCGCACCATCCCCAGTCAAACGGAAAGGTAGAGAACGCCGTCAAAATCTGCAAAAATCTGTTAAAGAAGGCCCGAGCAGACAACAGAGATCCACTGCTAGCTTTCTTGGACTGGAGAGACACGCCCACAGATGGTCTAGGAACCACGCCTGTCTTGCGTCTTATGGATAGAAGAACAAGAACAAGCCTGCCAACACATACCAAACTTCTGAAACCACAGTTAGACTCCGAAACAGAAGCAAAGTTAGCGCAGCGCAAACAGAAACAAGAATTGCATTACAACAAGAAAAGTCAACCGCTGCCTCCGATCCAGCCCGGTAGAGCGATTCGAAAGAAACTCCCTGGTGACACAAAATGGTCTCTTGGCAGCTGCGTCAAGGCACTACCTAACCGCTCTTACGAAGTGGAAGTCGCAGGTCGCCGTTATCGTCGCAAGAGGCTCCAACTAAGAACAACGGCCAAAGCACCTCCACACACTACACCTGAAGATCTTCCGAACAGTGATGCCGATGTAACATCTCCCGTTAAGAGCCAAGAAACAACACAGCCCACTCGTCGTCGAGATGACACCTCAGGTGTGACTCCCGAACCAGTCACTCAACCACGTCGTTCAGCTCGTGTAAGGAAACCGCCAGGTTGGCACGACGATTACCTGATGAACTAGAAGGAGTAAATCAACATAGGGACTCGCGTGATGTGATCTAATAATAGTAGTTGAATAATCACCTTAGTTTACAATCGGCTGTTGCGTGATTAGAACAATAATTTATTGATTCTCTTGTAATGTTCGAAGATTATTAAAAACTGGGGTTGACTTGTTGATGCGCATGCGTCTCTCTCTCTCTTTATGTCGCTAATTCGAACGACATAAAACGTTACAGCACGCGCGACGGGTGAGCAGCGAAGCCGCGAGGAACGAAGGCGGGAGCCCAAAGAAATAATTTTTACTCTCTCCTGCGCAATCTTTCCCTCTTATTGCCGTCAATTTGTATTTTTACGCAAATTTACTCTAGCCTGCGTGGCAGGGCGCGAGACCACGCGAGATGGAGGAGGGAGCGCCCCACGTCCTCTCGGGCGCCCAAATTCCCCCTTCCCCTCCCTCTTTTAACGCCTGCCACACAGGCTAAATACTGGTAGTGCACGATTCTTTCGAATACGACAATACGACTGCTATTTATCACCGTTAATTTAAATTGTTAATAAAGTAACAACCAACCATGAAACGCAAGACGACAAAAACAACCGGCGCGTGACCACATAAAGCATTGTGAAATCAACAACGGTTAAAGCGTCGACTTGACCATAGTTTTCGCATCGTCAAACAAATTCCATTTCACTTCGCACCACAGCAGATTCAAGAATAAAACAGAACAGGTAAGATTTTATCTCTTATTTAATTTCCATTTGCAGTTTACAAATAAGAGCCTGGGTTCCCTATGATGAGAGATTAGTTTCACTCACTACAGGTAACGATATCTCTTTCGCTTTCGCTTTTGGGAGATCTAGGGGAGGGGCCCAACCGTATTTTTAGGCCAAAAGCCAGTAGGGCGGACAAAAATTATTTTCGAGGCCGGCCCCTCTGTTTTAGCTTCTGGATGTGCGGGGCCCCCAATTTCTCGATGATCTGAAACTGTCCATTTGTAAGTGTTTAAAAACTGAAAGCGTTTAAACCCACAATATGAATCACAAAGGCTAACCGTTTCTCAAGCAAACTCTTCTTTTTTGTTCTCTTTGTTCACAAACAGCTCTTCCGTCTGTGATCGAAATCATCGATGATCAAACTGGAAATTTTGATCATTCAACTGCTTGAATTTTTCTAAGAATGTAACATGCCGTTAGAAATTCAGAAAATGATTGTCGGTAACCAAAAAACGCCTTCAACAATATTCCAGCAAGGACGTCTTGGAGAATTTTGTTTTGTTTTTTTTTTTCGTTCCGTTGAACAGCTCATGCAAATTATTTATTCTCCGTCACTATACACTACCAGCCAAGCATCAAGAAACAATATAGGCCAATATAGTACGGCTCAGTGGGCAACAGAAAAGATTAGTCGACTGCAATGTTTTACTATATCTATTCATTGTTAGAATCGAATCGAATCGAATCGAATCGAATAATTCTTTATTTAAATACGGTAAAATTCATCAGGAGTATAAAAAATTTTAAATAAACCTAACTACCCTAAACAATATGCAAAACTATCTACAACTAACCTAACTAAGACCTGTTTTTCATGAATGCCGTGTACATAGTACTTAAAAAAATCAGAAATTCAGATGAACCAATCGGTTAAATCGACTTAAAGATTTAGCCTATCTCATATGACAGGACTGGCTGTTCCAGAGAACTGCTCCGCTACAACTGAAACTATTTTCCCTGAAGTTAGTTCACGGTAACGGGACAATTAGCTTGTTAACAGAGTCTCTTAGGGAGTAGCGCGTTTCATATCGTTTAACAAATTTGGAGGATAAATATCCTGGAACAAGATCATTCAAAGACTTGAAAACCATTGGGGCGTTTTGTATTTGAAATTGAGTGCTCAAGTCTTTCCAATTAAGTTGTCTAAATAAGCGGTTGGCATCAGCATCATATCTAGAAAAGGCCTACAGCAGGTTAGAACACGAGCAGCACGGTTCTGAAGCTTCTTTAGCCTGTCAGACAAATTTTTTCCATAATTACCATTATTACACCAGACAATATTACAATAATCGAAGTGAGATTGAATGAGAGCGTTGTGTATACAACGGAGAGTAGGCGTTGGAACAAAATCTCTAATTCTTTTAATTGCTCCTATCCCGGAAGTGATCTTTTTAGATAATTTATCGATGTGCGTTTGCCAAGGTAGATTTTTATCAATAAATACTCCAAGCAATTTTACAGAGGTAACTTTTTCTATACGAACATTATGAATCGAGAGCTCGGGTTGGCTCGACAAAGTACTCAATTTTTGTCCTAATGCAATTAGCATAAATTCAGTTTAGCGGTGTTCAAAGTAAGTTTATTGGAAATAAGTTGCCTAGTCGCTTGGATCATTCAATGCAATAGCTTTTCTTTTGGCAGCATCTCGATCGCGTATGCCTTTCTTTAATTCTGAATTGACCCAGGGTGCTATTTTTTAGTCTAGTGCGTTTAGTTCGGAGTAGAGCATGAAAGTTAACAATATCCAAAATTTTCGTTTTCCAGTCAGCCCACAAAAGATTAGGATCATCAGAGCCGTTACAAGTCCAGTCCTGCTGAGCGATATCGTTACGAAAACTCTCTCGATTAAAATTTTTAAAATTTCTGTAAAAAATGGTTGAATGTCCTTTTGAGGGAAATGCAGGAGATAATTTCCTATAAACGTAAATAAGGCTGTGATCGCTGATGCCAATATGAGAGACTCCGGAACAGACTACCCTGCCAGGATAGTCAGGTAAAAATTAAATCAATTAAAGTTGCCGAGGATTTTGTTATGTGAATAGGTTCAGTTATAAGTTGTTGAAGCCCAAATAAATTAGAAATTTCATATAAGCAAAGAGTATTTGAATCATACTGTAAGGTGGCCAGGTTACAATTTAAATCACTTAAAGGATAATATTCAAGACCAAGGGAATCTAGTTTTTGAAGAAACGATTCGTAATATAAAAATAAATCAATCGAAGAGCAAGGAGGTCTATACCATGTAGCTATCAGAAATGGCTTTGAGTTAGGTTTACGAATTTCAATACATAAATTTTCAAGATTAGTTACATTTAGATTAGAACAAACTACAAAATTAATCGAGGTTTTTATATAAAAGCTTACACCTCCGCCTTGTCTGTTTCTATCACGTCAAATAAATTCATAGCCTGGTATATGGACCTCATAGCTTTTGATAGCGTCATCAAGTTAGTTTCATTAATTGGGATAATATCGACAGAGCAATCAAAAAGGAGAATTCTCAATTGATCAATGTGTTTAGTTAGAATGTTGATGTTCAAATGGGCTATTCTAAAACCTCGTCTAGAAGGAATAAAATCAGAAATATTATTATGTTGATTTGAAATAAAAACTTCTCAAAACGCTTTTTCAGAGAAAAAGATACAAACAGTAAAATTGGAAAAAAATCAATATGGATTAATGGTAGAACTAAGGAAAAGTACAACATAAATGATTAAAAGACAAACCCTGTATATGGAGATAGGAAGTTCAAGATTAGCAATTTTCTAGACTGGGAAATTCGAGCAACTTCTAATAATGACTTCTCAGTCCCCGTTTTCACGGTTCCGAACAAATTTTTGAACGGCCAAAACCTTGCAGGGATACGTCTGTCGTTTACAGGGAACCCGCGGAAGCGTGCAAGTTTTTGAACTGCAACAGTACTGCAATCTGCGACATATTTTGCACCGTTTCTTTTAAACGGCTTGCACAGGAAAAAAACATTCGTCCGTTCAAAAGTGGGTCTCAGCCGCAAGACTAAGGAGGCAAGGATTAAGGCCGGGAAATATTTATTGTTAACGACGTAAGTTGACCTCGTGCGAGTACTTATTAAAAGGGAGTCGTGCCATTTTGCCGTTGGCTTAGTAGAGGTGGTATCTATGCCGTAATGGTTTTGGCAATTTAATATTTCCCCTTGCTTTTCTTATAGAAGAAACTTTCTTCTTTCAATGGCATCGGCAGCTCCGACGTTTCCATCTACAAGAGAGACAACTAATTATGCCAGATTATGCCGGCTTTTGGTGGATTTTGGTTCTCAGGCCCTGCGAGACACATTTGATAGAATTCATCCTCCAGGAGGCCTTGAAACAGTTTTGGCAACACCACCAGCTCTTCCTAAACTGCAGTACCTTCAAGTGAAGAAAATCTTGAATCCTTTTCAATGGGATATACTATACCCTGCCATCAAATCTTCAGTTTCGTCCAAAGACTTTGATATCACCTTGCTGGTGGTGCTGCTCAGGAATATTTGTGGCCTGACTACTCCAGCCACTGGCTGGGATACCCTTCCTTTGCCTGCAGATTTGTCTTGTGAAGCTGACATCGCTCGCATCAAATTCTACAAAAATAAAGTGTGTGGTCATTCCGCCCAAGCGTCGGTTGACGATGCGACATTTCACAATTATTGGAAGAATATCCGCTGTACGCTGGTAAGACTTGGTGGAGTGGCTTATGAAGCAGCTATTGATGGGCTCAAGTATGACTGCTGGGACCCTGAACTAGAAGAACACTACAAAGAGCTTCTAAAGAAGTGGAAGACGGACGAAGATAGTGTGATGGACAAGCTGATTAACGTTGAAGCCAAAGTAGATAAAGTAGTAGCAGCAGTGGATAGAATTGAGAGGCAATTGATGCCATCGCCTGGTAGGTGAAATGGTAGGAGTATAGCGCATAAGTTACTTGTTTTATGCACATGTTAGATCGCTTTTTACCCAAAACGCCGATCGAGATTACGTACCTCAACAATCTTTTCTGTTTAGGGGAATGCTGGTAAGCCAGTAATTTAATTAAAACTAGGATTGATCTTCAGTACGGCGAGGCACTCTGCCATCCCCTCTTCTATCCATTAAAGTTCGGGTGTTCGTTGTTTTCTACAGGTAGCTTGAACAGCGGGTCAATATTGTGTTGAGGGGGTGGGGGGGGGGG